TACGTTCTTACAGAACTTTGTTCCGTCTAAACATGCAGAAATGCAGAAGCTTAGAAGTGTCCAAGATGTTACGTTCTTACAGAACTTTGTTCCGTCTAAACATGCAGAAATGCAGAAGCTTAGAAGTGTCCAAGATGTTACGTTCTTACAGAACTTTGTTCCGTCTAAACATGCAGAAATGCAGAAGCTTAGAAGTGTCCAAGGTGTTACATTCTTACAGGACTGTGTTCTGCTTCATATCCGGTAAAAACAGTGCTAACGTAGGCTTTTGATAATAACTGGCCAACATTTTTTCCCGATCTCACCTGTGCTGTTCGTAAGTTATGGGCTTTCTGAAGATCATGACATAGCATCAATTCCTCTACTGAAAAATATCACAACGACAGAAGTTTGTGTAATTCATGGCTAGAAATTTCGTATTGCATCAAGTACATTGTTAGGATGTACATATAAAGCAAAAATTGTGCCACTGGGGGGGGGGCGAAATAGTGACGGAAGCATTGAATAATTGGTACAGTGGTGCTGCCTAATATTATTTCTACAAACTAGTGGGTTTAACCCCGTAATCTGTTATGCATGTACACAAAAATATTTCGCCCGTATATTACAAGTCAGCCTTCCAGGATCTTCTGTATATCTATAACGACTTAATATTCGCCATCTCCTTTTAGAGAGATTTTAACAGTATCTTGAGTCTAAAAGGTAGGCTCAGTTCATTTATCAAAACTGTAATGAATGTAAGGGTTAGAATTACTTACATCCAAGGCGAGAGTATTAATATACACTTTAATATTAACATTTATACGTAAATACAAAGTGAATAATGACTTTTAATTAACAATTAAACTCATATTTATACATGAAAGAAACATCTCAAGAATAGTAACTTTAATGACTTCAGGAATTATTTTCGTTACTTGTTGTATTCAATTCTTTTAGAATGAATTTACAACAAGTAAGTTTGGTTTTCGAAACGATAAATCAGGCCTCAATAGTACTTACCTGTCGCTGAGATGACCAGATATAAATACTCCAATCAACATTCCCAACATAAACACCGTCTGGTTCATGGATACCAGCCATTCCCGATCGCAGAACAAGTCCCACTGAAAGATATAGAACTTTAGGCCTAAACGGAAACCCAAAGAGGAAAACAAAAATAGTTCCGAATTTTTACACCATGACAAATTAATTAATAATGTTGGTAAGTAACACTTAAAAATGTTTACAGGGATACAGCATACATGTTAGACTTCAAGTGCCTTATAAAGTAATTTATTTCACTTTTGAGAGGTGAGGTACTCGTACTTCCGTTAAATAGGCTAGTTCCAATAGAAGAAGCGATACTCGTACTCACAACATTATTTGCTCTGAAAATAAAGATACTCATACTATTACAAATATGTTACATTAACAAAGGAAGCGATAATCGTACGCTAAAATAATATAAAATAATACTCGTAAAATAAACCACTTCCAGGGATAAAAGCGAGTTTTTTTTGGGGGGGGGGGGAATTTTCATAATTGACTATCTACTCAGTTCCCAACGGAGGGATTGAGCTCTATCATTTAGGGTCATGAGCCCTCGAGCTTACCTTTGAATCACTGAAAAGGCTCGAGTTCTCGGCAAAGCTAGTTACTTCCAATGAAAAGCTTGATAATTGCAATCGTATACGATGTTCAAATCTTTTTTACTATTTAGGGCTTGAAGAATTCAAAGTTAAATAATGATGATTTGAAGAGGTTTCAATGTAAAACTTGCTATACAATAACATCACGAAAATAAAACAAAATTATTGTTTATTAGTGATTGATTTCTAGAGAGAAAAAGGGTTTGGATCCTTGTTGACCTGATGTGGGTTTTTGTACTTAACAATTGGAAATGGCTGGATTATAAAAGGACTTATTTATGATACCCTACTTACCTGGGTTATTATTGTGTTGTCTGTAGTGGTGTAATCCCACTTTGTACAGGGAACCGTGACATTCTGATCAATAATTACAGCCCAGGAATTAGGTAACTCCATTAACTTGTAGCTGTAGCTCTGACACTGGCTGAATTCTTGTTTCTTAGTGTCGAACGGTATGGACACATTCTTCCATTGGATAACTGTCCAGTTCTCTAGTTGGTGTGGTTTGGCACACCAATGGTCAGTATCGGGAGCCAAAAATGGTATGGCCAAAATTTGCCATGCTGTCGGCACTCCGCGGTATATAAGTAAGATTATTATGTAACACTGAAGTCGTCCCAAATTACCTATGACGTCAGTGATTTCCATGTTTTACTATCGTTATTGTTTTTTTGATAAGTTTTTTTTTCCTACTTTAAATATACAATACACTTTCAAGTCTGACGGAAAACAGCACTGATATGTTGGCTAAATAAATACCTCACAATCTTTTACCTGTATTGAGCCATTAGCAAAAATCTGAAACACTAAACAGTATCAACCATGAAAAATTTATCAAACGCTTTTATATGCAATAAAACAAACTCAGAACCCACCGCGAACGTTTGAGCTATGATGATCTGACCAAGAAGTGGGACTTACTCATAGTCCAGAAATGAGGAACAATATTTTGTTTTTAGATAACGGGACGAGAACCTTGGATCTGCTGTTCCAACTCCGCTGATAATCACTGGTCTCGTTTAGCCCTAAGAATTGAATAATAACGTTTTGTTAACGCAAGTGAAATGATCAGTAACGTTCATACGGACTTTTACCATACGTAATAGAAACAATAGGTTGATAAATATAATCAAGCCAGTTTCCAAATCTAAAGTTCCACGTTGACCGAAATTGTGCGAAAATACAGACCTACTTGTATATCTATTACAGATGAACTTTTTTTTTTCTGTGAATTCTTTATTTTAACCTTAAGCAACAGAATGCTGTTGAGAAAAGCGTTAGATTATATCAATATATTTTGCTGTATTTTGTCTCTAGTCTATCATTATATGGACATAACACTGAGAGCGTTAGTCTAAATGTAATCGCTGATTTAAACTTTAAAATATATATAAGTAAAGATGTAATAACAAACCTGATGACCGTTTCTTTTGTTAGTTGGACCTCCTTGAACTATATTGTCAATATATCGAATACCGTGAATCGTCTCCTTCTTGCTTATCTGATAACAAGATAAATAGCGTCAATACTAGATGGCGCTACCGTTATCGTAGAATTTGATAAAAGAAAAAAAAACACATACACCCCGTGACGTTTTATCTTGATTCCTCCCACCTAATTATTTAACAGAAAATTTAAAAAAAAACCTTGAGGTACCTTACTTTCGTTTCAGTTTGTTCCTTGAAAAGAAAAATACTCAAGCGTTTGTTTGAAGTTAAGCACAAAGCTACACAATGGGCTATCTGTGCACTGCCCACCACGGGTATCGAAACCCGATTTCTAGCAGTATAAGTCCGCAAACTTATGAAAGCTTGTTTGTTTCTTTGGAATGAAGACCAAAGCTACACAATGGGCTATCTGTGCACTGCCCACCACGGGTATCGAAACCTGGTTTCTAGCGTTGTCAGTCCACATACATACCACTGTGCCACTGGGGTGGGAGGGGGCAAACTTAAGCGTAAACAATGGTCTAGGCAAATTTATTACAATAAGTAAAACTATTGCTAACAATTTTGGTTCCTTTCGCATTAGAACGTTTTTTTAAGAGAATATCTTTGCATGAATTGATTTCACTTCGATTTGCGGGCCGGAGTTTAGGAACCACTAGCAGCTCATATAATTTCTACACGAACTATCCGTACAGGGGTTAAACGGTCAGATCAGAAACCCCTAGAGTTTCAGGCATAGTCGCCCCTAATATCGAACTACTAACAGAATCTGTCGCCACCAAGACTTTGTTCGGCTTTGAATATAATAACAGAACTGACACTCACTCTTATAGTGCGCCCATAACTGAAAGAGCCGACAGTATTCAGCAACGTTACATCGCTAACCTTGGATCTTCCATTAATACGCCCACATCGAGAGAGAGAATGACAGGAAATTCCCCGTAGATATTTCTTACGTTCCCCATTTATGAGTCTACCGTTAATCATCATAAAAGTTGTTTTTTGTTCAATGTAATTGAAGGCGATAACAGATGCACCGACCAGTGTGTACAAAAGGTGAATGTCGAAGCTAAAATCACTGAATGTGTAAAGCCACATACAAACGAATTCCTTCCGCTCTACAAAGTAGTCAAGTCACGTAAAAAGTCGCTAAGAAGTCCAAATTGACAAAGTTATTAGTTGAACAACTAGCAATGTAAGAAACATTAACGAGATAAAACTGCATTCATACATCAAATGTTTGTAGTTAAGCACAAAGCTAGACAAAGGGCTATCTGTGCTCCGCCCACTACGGGTATCGAAACCCGGTTTCTAGTGTTGTAATTCCGCAGACATACTGCTGTGCCACTGGGGAGGGGGGTCATCGTAGTCTTCTGTAGATTATTGACGAAATATCTAACATTATATTATTTCCCGGACCACAATTGATTCTAGTAATTATTTTATAGCAGATCTATGAATATTTTATTATCATTTTTATCAGTTCTTGCTAAATATCACGAGTCCACAACAATTTTACAAGGTCAAGAAGTTAAAACAACAACAATTTTACAAGGTCAAGGAGTTAAAACAACAACAATTTTACAAAGTCAAGAAGTTAAAATAACAACAATTCTACAAAGTCAAGAAGTTAAAATAACAACAATTCTACAAAGTCAAGAAATTAAAACAACAACAATTTTACAAAGTCAAGAATTTAATATAACAACAATTTTACAAAGTCAAGAAGTTAAAACAACAACAATTTTACAAAGCCAAGAAGTTCAAACAACAACAATTTTACAAAGCCAAGAAGTTAAAATAACAACAATTCTACAAAGTCAAGAAATCAAAACAACAACAATTTTACAAAGTCAAGAATTTAATATAACAACAATTTTACAAAGTCAAGAAGTTAAAACAACAACAATTTTACAAAGTCAAGAAGTTAAAATAACAACAATTTTACAAAGTCAATAAGTTAAAATAACAACAATTTTACAAAGTCAAGAAGTTAAAACAACAACAATTTTACAAAGTCAAGAACTTAAAACAACAACAATTCTACAAAGTCAAGAAGTTAAAACAACAACAATTTTACAAGGTCAAGAATTTAAAATAACAACAATTTTACAAAGTCAAGAAGTTAAAATAACAACAATTTTACAAAGTCAAGAAGTTAAAATAACAACAATTCTACAAAGTCAAGAAATTAAAACAACAACAATTTTACAAAGTCAAGAATTTAGTATAACAACAATTTTACAAAGTCAAGAAGTTAAAACAACAACAATTTTACAAAGACAAGAAGTTAAAATAACAACAATTTTACAAAGACAAGAAGTTAAAACAACAACAATTTTACAAAGTCAAGGAGTTAAAATAACAACAATTTTACAAAGTCAAGAAGTTAAAATAACAACAATTTTACAAAGTCAAGAAGTTAAAATAACAACAATTTTACAAAGTCAAGAAGTTAAAACAACAACAATTCTACAAAGTCAAGAAGTTAAAACAACAATTCTTCAAAGTCAAGAAGTTAAAATAACAACAATTCTACAAAGTCAAAAAATTAAAATAACAACAATTCTACAAAGTTAAGAAGTTAAAACAACAACAATTTTACAAAGTCAAGAAGTTAAAATAACAACAATTCTACAAAGTCAAGAAGTTAAAACAACAACAATTTTACAAAGTCAAGGAGTTAAAATAACAACAATTTTACAAAGTCAAGAAGTTAAAATAACAAAAATTTTACAAAGTCAAGAAGTTAAAATAACAACAATTTTACAAAGTCAAGAAGTTAAAACAACAACAATTCTTCAAAGTCAAGAAGTTAAAATAACAACAATTCTACAAAGTCAAAAAATTAAAATAACAACAATTCTACAAAGTCAAGAAATTAAAACAACAACAATTTTACAAGGTCAAGAATTTAAAATAACAACAATTTTACAAGGTCAAGAATTTAAAATAACAACAATTTTACAAAGTCAAGAAGTTAAAACAACAACAATTCTACAAAGTCAAGAAGTTAAAATAACAACAATTCTACAAAGTTTATTATATTACTTTGCAGATTGCTGACGACATAACTTTGTCCTAAATTTATTTACCCTGAAAATAACAATGAAAGTATTATCTTCTCAGAAAGTAGTCCATTAAAACATTATCTTCTCAAAAAGTAGTCCATTTCACAGCGGAATTAGAACATTAGTATATACTGTTCATTTAAGGTTTCGGATGTACGTGTATCATTTATCTTAGGATTACAAGTTATGTGTGATTTGAATTATGTAAAGTATTACATCTTTACTATGTGTACTGAGTGCTTCAGTTTTGGGATTGCTGTTAGGAGCGCTTGTGTTTCCAATACAAGCCAATTTTTTAACATTTAACCAGTATATATATATGGGTGAGTTTTTGAAAGGATTCACACAGATCTCAAAATTGTTGTTCCTTAGAATAAAATAGCCACAAACGTATGATAATACCACTTCCACCCCCCACCCCCAAAAAAGAAATCTGAATATTACTACGAATGTGAAAACTGTTTATTTACAAATTATAATCAAATGTGACCCCATAGTATAAGGGTTAGCTCTCACATTACCGACTACTTTACATACAGTTCATTACCTATGAGGTCCACACGTTGCATCAGTATTAGATTATTTTATACTTTTACCAGTAATAACAAATTGTGTAAAGAACTGACCCCCCAAAAAAAATCCCTAATTTTTCTATGCGAAATAGATAGAAAACCCCTGTAGCAATTAGTGTGATTTATTTTAATATTGACGGTATTGTGACGCGTGACTCGTGTGTTGTAAGGGATCCTATATTCAACAAATTATGGACTTGCAGGCAAATTGGAGCATATATATACTTGTAACAAATGTGTTTAAAAATTCGACTGGGCTCGTTTGGATCTCACCAGTAATTCAAGGGTTAGCCTGCTTTGTGAGTAAGTTTCTTTGTGCTATAAAGCCGGTGTATCCCACCATCTGTCTTTGTACTTACTGTAATTTCAAGTTAAAATTATACAGATCAGCGTGAAAATTTAAATAAAATACACTTACCTAAATTGCGCGTAAAAGCTCAGTAGCTGTTTGCTGATTGTTTAATGTAGGCTTCATTTGAAGGATTAGAAGAGTATCCTTTGAACATAATAGGTTTAGGACCACATCACATCCACTTAAACAATCTCCCAGTCTTCCAACAGTGGAACCGACGTAAACGCTCCCACATGTTGGGCAGCAGTATTCATAAAAAAAAAACACCTGACTCTTAACAAAACTGGATACAATTTTTAAACTTGAAAAATTTCTAAATTCTCGTAAAGGTCTGAATACATATTGAGGATGAACTTGTGAATAGACTGTTGATTATAGTGTTTAGTTTTCTATTCAAAGGCCAGCATGGCCAAGTGGTTAGGACGCTCTACTCGCAATCTGAGGGTCG